AAGCATGCTTATTCTCACTGTATTCAATATAGTACTAGAGGTTCTAAGCAGCAATCTAATAAAAGACAGATTGGAAGGGCAGAAACAAACTTGCTCTTATTCACAGATGACATGATTTTCTGTATAGAAAATCACAGGCAATCTATAAAAACAAAACTCTTGGAATTAATAGGTAAACTCAACCAGGTCACAGAATACAAGATAAACTCACAAGAAATCAGTTGCATTTCCATACACTGGCAGCAAACATATGGACACCAAAAATTTAAAAATAGACGTAGGACCATTTACAATTATTCGAAAAGATTAAATACTTAGATGTCAATCTGACCAAATAGGTACAAGACTTTTATGCTCAAACTACATAATGCTGACAAAGAGATTCAAAAATATCTAAATATGTAAAGAAACATTTGTGTTCATGGAATGAAATATTTAAAATCATAAAGATATTCATTTTTCCTAGATTTAAATCCAGGTTTGCTGAGATCCTATCAAAACTTCAGCACAACTTTTTGTACACATAAGCAAAATTATTCTAAAATTTCTATGGAAAGACAGTAAAACAATTTTGAAAAAAAAAGTTGGAGGAATCAATCCACTCAATTTCAAAACTGTATGCAATTACACTAATCAAGACTATGTGCTGTTGGTAAAGAAATAGACACATAGTTGGGTAGAATGGAATAACCAATCTAGAAAGAGATCCATACAAATATGCCCAACTGATTTTTTATGAAGGTGCAGCAATAGCATAGATTAAATAGAATAGCATAGCCTTTTCAGCAAATGATAGAGCAATTGGTCATGTATTAGGGAAAGAAAAAAAATGCCTTGACCAAAGAGATAATTTTTAGAAAACCAACTCAGAATGGGCCATACATTTAAATATGATATGTAAAACTATAAACTTTTAAGAAAAAAATCTTCAGAATTTAGGACAAAAAGTTCTGAGACTTGGTACCAACACAGTCCATAAAGGAAAAATTGACAAATTAGACTTAATCAAAATTAAATAATTTTGCTTTGCAGAAGACCCTAAGAGGATGAAAAGTAAGTTACAGAGTAGGAAAAAATATTTACAAACTCCTTATGCAAAAAAAGAAATGGTGTCTAAAACATAAAGAAATCTGAAAACTCAGCAATAAAAATACCAAAAATCCAATCTGAAAGTGAGCAAAAGACACAAGTCATTTTACTGAAGAGAATATTCAGAGGGCAAATAGGCATATGAAAAGATACTCAACATGTTAGCACTTAGGGAAATGAAAATTAAAATCACAATGAGATGATTATGCAGATATTAGAATGGAAGAAATTTTTTCTTTGAAGAACAACTGCTGGCAAAAATGTAGAGAATTTGGACAACCAATACTTCGCTGGTGAGAATATAAAATGATATAATCACCCTAGAAAACAGTTTGGCAATTTCATTACATACACAGACAGACACACACACACACACACACACACACACACACACACCATACACCAAAAATTGCACCCTTGGGTATTTATACCAGAGAAATAAAGACTGAGATCTAAACAATAACCTGCACATGAATCTTCACAGCTTTATTCATTATATTCCAAACATTAAACAATTCAGATATTCCTCAATAGGTGAATAAACAGTGGTATACCAACATAGTAAACTACTACAGAGCAATACAAAAGGATGAACTATTGATACATGGAAACAACCTGGATCAATATCTGAGAATTATAATGGATTAAAAAATAATAAAGTCAACCCCAAAGGTTACATACTGTATGATTCCATTAATACAGCATTGTTGAAATGACAAATTAATGGAAATAGAGACTAGTGTTTGCCAGGGGTTAAATAGTGGATAAGGACAGGTGGGCAGTGGGTTGGGCTACAAAAGAGCAACATGAAGGATCACTGTGATAGTGGTATGTTCTGTATCTTAAGTGTACCAATGTCAATACCCTGGGTGTGATATTGTACTACAGTGGCAAGATATTACCACTGGAGAAAACTGGTTAAAGAGTACATCCACTTTGTATTATTTTTTTGAACTGCATGTGAATTTGCTATTATCTTAAAATAAGTTGCAAAAAAAATAAGAAGTTGCATTTAAAACAAGAAAAATTGGGGCTGAGCATTTTTCCTCTTCACCTTCAAACCCTTCAATTTATTCAAGTATCTTTTTAGAATCCGTCAAACAGCAATGGTAAACAAACCATGGTAGGTGGGTCTCCAAATATTTTTGGACTTTGTTGGAAAATATTTAAAACAACTATTTATCTAGTCTTCATTTCTTGATCATGATTTATCATGACTTATTTGCTTTTGCAAATTAGAGCTACCACTTTTTGGTCTATTTTTATGAGCCAATTTGGTGTGCTAAGTAACCACTTTTTAATTTATCTGAATAAAACCTACAACAACCCTCTGGGATAGGTAATTATGCTCAATCTGCAAAAAGAAGTGATTGTCAAACCAAACTCAGGTAGAAATGAGCCAGAATATGAGCTCAAGCTTTTTTTTTTTTTTCCCCTCATTGTAGCAGACTGTCTCATAATCACATTATCATGGTGTTCCTTCTGCCTGAAATGTTCCTGTTGTATGCCTCCTGGAAACATTTTCTTCCTCTTGTCATCTGATTCAAATATAATTTCTTCTGTTGAGTCCTTCTTGACTGTCAGGCAGAGCTCATTATTCTGTTACTGTCCTGGATATTTTGTATGTATCTCTTTCAAAGCATTTTTGCACATTCTTAGGACTACCTATCTTTTCCTGAAGACCCTGAGATCCTCTAGGGCAGGTACCTGGTCTCTTTCATTTTATTGTATTCCTAGTATCCAGTGTGGTGTACACAGACAAATCACGATAAATGTTTGTTACTTCAAAGAATAAATGGTGAAAACTATTTCACAAATTAGGGTAGAATCCAGACTATATATGCACAAAGTACAAAATCACAGAGAACACAAGCATGGGTGTTAATTAGGCTTGAAGCAGAGCTCACTCCCTAATGAGATGAGAACTAATTTCCAGCTATGTTTCTGGCATTTAGAATGAGATGGAATTAAACATTTACTGTCTAAGTCTATGCATTCCTGTAGGTTATGCTCCCAAAAATATTTGTTGGATGCTTCAACTTATTTGGTATATCCCAAAAGAGCTTTCTGAGCATAAATATATGTTTATTTATGTACATATAAACAAACATAAACCAAATTACAAATTAGTAGATAGTATCATATATCATAGCATATCTGTATTTAAACAGAATATATATCCAAGATCATGCAGAAAAGGAACAAGTTGTACTCTACCCACCCTCCCTTTGATGAGGGCAGTACAGTAAATATTTACCAGGCTAGGTGGCTGACACAGTGGTGAATCAGGCAGTTCTTAATCCAAGGGTGGTGGGTGACAGGAACTCTTAGAAAATAAAAATGGAGAGCAATCTCAAGTGCTCAGGTCCAAATAACCAAAGGAGAGTGGATAGCTTAGAAAAGTTGGAGCATGATCACAAGCAACAGTTTTGCTGGTTATTCCTAGATCATGCCTATCACATGCATACCTCACTGGAATTTGATAACCACTGGCAAGATTATTTTAGCGAATGTATATACATAAATAAGAGAAGCTATAAATCATATGACTTTATTTGGTACTTACATGTGTTAAGAATTCCCTAAAACATTGGTGTTTGGATCGAAATATGCTCATTTTGCTACTCTCTGACTGGTAGATGTTTAGAAAACCAGAGAAGGCAGTGGCAGTGTCAAAGGATAGCTAATCAGCTAATCACTGTCTACTTCAAATAGTCTCTAAAAAAAGAATGCTTCTCAGCCACCTTCCATCAAGCTCAACATCCATAAATTACTAATTTTATTTTTGTAGAAATGGGGAGCCATGAACGATGCTAATTAGTTTCCTAACAATCAACCTTGAGACACTGATTTCTAATAGAATGTCAGACTAGATATTCTGAGAGATTTGTTCACTGGAAAACACCTATATCCTGCATAGAACATCTTACAGAGTTGTAAGTACTAAGTATTAGTCACATAAAAGCAAAATTTCTCTGGCACTCTAAGATGACATTACAGAAATCTAGGGCCAGTAGAACCTGTAGAAAGGTGAGTGAGAGCCCAAGGACTATACTCTCCCTCAAGGAGATGAAGTGGTTTTAAATCAGGAGTGCTTCCTGAATCCCAAAAGAAGAAAATGTATTTTTTTTCCTAGAGGAAAATATTTTAACCACGCAAGCTCTTCAAAAATTGAATTAAAACTTTTTTTGCCATTACAATGATTGGCTCTATAATCCAAATCTTTGCACAGAGAAATCAAAAGATCAGATGGTTTTACAAGTAAAATCTACTGCAAAAATAAAATACTCAGAAATACATCTAGCAAAAGAGGTTTAAAAATAGTATGGAGAAACCTAAAACACAATAATAAGAATAAAAGAGGGATGCCTGGTTGGCTCAGCAGTTAAGCATCTTCCTTTGGCTCAGGGCATGATCCTGGGGTCCAGGATCAAGTCCCCCATCTGGCTCCTTGTGGGGAGCCTGCTTCTCCCTCTGCCTATGTCTCTGCTTCTCTTTCTCTCCCTCTCTGTCTCTCATGAATAAGTAAATAAAATCCTAAAATAAAATAAAATAATAAAAATAAAAGAAATGAAGATAGTCTATGTTCATGGATAGGAAATCTCAATATCACCAAGTTTCCAAACAATATACTCAACAGTATTCCCTCTCCAAATTAATCTAGATTCAATCCAATTTCAGTCAAAACCCACAGGTTCTTCTTTCTCCTTTTTAAAGAAATAGGATTCTAAAATTAACATGGAATAGCAAACACATAAGAATTTATAACATGCTGGTGAAGGAGAACTTGTGAAATGCAATCCTACCAAAGATGAAGATATATTGTAAAGCAATAGTTAATTAAGATAGTGTGGTATAGACACTAAAATTAACAAACTGCCGCCGGTTCTCCACCTCCGCCCGGTACCAAGATGGCAGCAGAAGCAGCTGGTGGGAAATACAGAAGCACAGTCAGCAAAAGCAAAGACCCCTCGGGGCTGCTCATCTCTGTGATCAGAACTCTGTCTACCAGTGATGATGTGGAAGACCGAGAAAATGAGAAAGGGCGCCTTGAAGAAGCCTATGAGAAGTGTGACCGTGACCTGGATGAGTTGATCGTGCAGCACTACACAGAGTTGACGACAGCCATTCGCACATACCAGAGCATCACCGAGCGCATCACCAACTCTCGAAATAAAATCAAGCAGGTGAAAGAGAATCTGCTTTCATGCAAGATGCTGTTGCACTGCAAAAGGGATGAGCTTCGGAAGTTGTGGATTGAAGGAATTGAGCATAAGCATGTCCTGAATCTGCTGGATGAAATTGAGAACATCAAGCAAGCGCCTCAAAAACTAGAACAGTGCATGGTCAGCAAGCACTATCTCAGTGCCACCGACATGCTGGTGTCAGCAGTCGAGGGCCCCCTGCTCCAGGTGGAGGGATTGAGTGACCTTAGGTTGGAGCTTCATAGCAAGAAGATGAACCTCCATTTGGTTCTCATAGATGAATTCCACCAGCACCTGTACATCAAATCCACTAGCCGAGTTGTGCAGCGTAACAAGGAGAAAGGGAGAGTGAGCTCTCTTATAAAAGATGCTTCTCCTGTTCCTCTGATTGATGTTACAAACCTTCCTACTCCTCGAAAATTCCTTGATACCTCTCAGTATTCTACTCCTGGAAGCTCAAGTGCAAGGGAGATAAACCTGCAGGATATCAAGGAGGATTTGGAATTGGATCCAGAGGAGAATAGCACCCTTTTTATGGGCATTCTCATCAAAGGACTGGCCAAACTGAAGAAGATTCCAGAGACAGTGAAGGCGATCAAAGAGCGCTTGGAGCAGGAGTTGCAGCAGATTGTGAAGAGGTCTACCACCCAGGTGGCAGACAGTGGCTATCAGAGGGGAGAGAGCCTCACTGTGGAGAACCAGCCAAGGTTACTTCTAGAACTGCTGGAGTTGCTGTTTGACAAGTTTAACGCTGTAGCCACTGCACACTCTGTGGTCCTGGGGTACCTGCAAGACACTGTGGTAGCTCCATTGACTCAGCAGGAAGATGTCAAGCTGTATGATATGGCGGACGTGTGGGTGAAGATCCAAGATGTTCTGCAGATGCTGTTGACTGAGTACTTGGATATGAAAAATACTCGTACGGCCTCTGAACCATCAGCTCAACTAAGTTATGCCAGCACTGGACGAGATTTTGCAGCCTTTTTTGCCAAGAAGAAGCCTCAAAGGCCAAACAATTCTCTTTTTAAGTTCGAATCCTCCTCCCATGCCATCAGCATGAGTGCCTATTTGCGAGAGCAGAGACGAGAGCTCTACAGTCGCAGTGGAGAACTTCAAGGCGGTCCTGATGACAACTTAATTGAAGGTGGAGGAACCAAATTTGTCTGCAATCCTGGAGCCAGAAATATTACTGTCATATTCCATCCATTGCTAAGATTAATCCAGGAGATTGAGCATGCCCTGGGACTTGGCCCAGCCAAACAGTGCCCTCTTCGAGACTTTCTCACTGTGTACATCAAGAACATCTTCCTCAATCAAGTCTTGGCAGAAATCAACAAGGAGATTGAAGGAGTCACCAAAACATCTGACCCCTTGAAGATCCTAGCTAATGCAGACACCATGAAGGTGATGGGGGTGCAGCGGCCTCTTCTGCAGAGCACGATCATTGTGGAGAAGACAGTGCGAGACCTCATGAACTTGATGCATGACCTGAGTGCATACTCGGATCAGTTCCTCAACATGGTGTGTGTGAAGCTCCAGGAGTACAAGGACACCTGCACCACCGCCTGCAGGGGCATTGTCCAGTCAGAGGAGAAACTTGTCATCAGTGCATCTTGGGCAAAAGATGACGATATCAGCAGACTCTTGAAATCTCTACCAAACTGGATTAACATGGCTCAACCCAAACAGCTGAGGCCAAAGAGAGAAGAGGAAGAAGATTTCATAAGGGCAGCCTTCGGCAAGGAGTCAGAAGTTCTTATCGGGAACCTGGGTGACAAATTAATCCCTCCACAAGACATCCTCCGTGATGTCAGTGACCTCAAAGCATTGGCCAACATGCACGAAAGCCTGGAGTGGCTAGCAGGTCGGACAAAGTCAGCCTTCTCCAATCTTTCTACATCTCAGATGTTGTCTCCTGCTCAAGAGAGCCATATGAACATGGATCTTCCTCCAGTGTCAGAGCAGATCATGCCGACTCTGAGTGAACTTGCCAAATCCTTCCAGGATATGGCTGACCGCTGCTTGCTGGTCCTACATCTGCAAGTCAGGAGAGGAAAATTAAGTTGCCATTTGAGCCCAAGATGCCAGGAATGTCGCCTTTATCAGCTGATTTTTCTCACCATCAGGAGGGCTCTAAGTGGGCTCAACAGCAGCCGCCTGCCACTGTTGGGATCCAAAGTGTGCATGCACTTTCTCAAAATCACCCATCCTGCTGTGTAATCAGCAATATTTGCAGAGATCCTTAATGCCAAAGTCGTGTTAAGGTCAGCAACAACATGCCAGAACCCGAAGAAAAGAAAACACTTTTTGAATTTGACATTTGCCAGTGCCTAGTTTAGTTTCTTTTTCATCTCTTGCCATTTTGGGAGTCAGGAAGAGGGTACCTCCAAGCAGTCTTATTTCTCTCCGGCACCACTCACTTCAGGATCTCATAAGCTCTCACCTCCAATTCCTGAGAATGTCCAAAGTCGTCTCTGTACTGTCAGCGGCTTCCCTTCTTCACCATCATTCTACCCTGTACACTGCGCTCAAGTGATCTTGCCAGAGCTCATATCTGATTATATCATTTCACCTCTTAAAATCCTCCTAAGGCTCCCTGTGGCTTCTCAAATAAAGTCCACAGTCCATAGATGGCCCCCAAAGCTGATAATCACCTGGCCCCTACCCATCTCCCCAAGCTCACCTCGTGCCTCCCTCTTCACATGTGATCTGTGTGTACTAAAAGGAACCCCTTGTCCTTCCCGAAAACTGGCCTTCGTTCATGCCATTCAAAGGCCTCATGCTTGGGATCCCTGGGTGGCGCAGAGGTTTAGTGCCTGCCTTTGGCTCAGGGCGCGATCCTGGAGACCCGGGATCGAATCCCACGTCGGGCTCCCGGTGCATGGAGCCTGCTTCTCCCTCTGCCTATGTCTCTGCCTCTCTCTCTCTCTCTCTCTCTCTCTCTGTGACTATCATAAATAAATAAAAATTAAAAAAAAATAAAATTAAATTAACAAACTGGTAAGAAGAACTGAATAAAAGAATAGAGTCAAGAAATAGAGTAACAAATATATGAAAAACTGAAATAGGGTGATACTGCAGATAACTGAGGAAATGATCAAGGTTTCAAGAGATAATGCTGAGGCAATAGGTTATCCATGGTGGGGGGATTGATCTCTTCTGTGTACCTTACACCACTATAAAATTCCTTATGGATTCAAGACTTAAATGTGAAACAAAAAACTTCAGATCCTTTGGAAGAAAAATTAGAAAAATCACTTTAGAAACTTCACAGTGAAGAAGCAAAGTTTTTAATATAACCCAAAAGTACAGAAAAACAGGTAGAATGATGGGTAAAAGACATGAAGAGTTATTTCAAAGAGAAAGAAGCCAAATTACAAATAAGCACAAAAAAACTTAGCCTCATAGCTTTTCAGGAAATACATCTTAAGACCTCAGTGAAATACCACTTTATAAGCATAAAATTGGAAAAGATTGAGACTTGACAAAATTAAAATAACAACCTTAGAAACCAATAAGGCAGGATCTCATATATTTAAATACTTGCCTAGGAGACAAGCATAAAAATACCATGGTGATATTGTTGACAACAGAAAAAAAGCCAGCACCCTGAATGTCCACTGATAAAAAAGAAATAAATATATTGAGATATTTTGCATAGAATATGATTTGGCAGAAAATGAATGAACTCCTGTTATAAGAAACAAAGTAGAATAATCTTGGAAATACTGAGTAAAAAGAGCAATTTCCTGAAGACAGCACACATCTCAGAAAAAATTTTGTGTTACTTAAGAACAAACAAAACTAAATGTAGTGTTAGAGACAGTCATGATTTTGTGACAATTTTTTAAAAGTTTTTCAAAGAGATAATGCTAAAATGAAGAAAACACACAGGTAAATTGTACTTTATAATAGTAAAATATAACTATGTTTTTCTGCCTCTATCAAATATTACAAAATAGAAATAGTATTAATATCTTACATGTTCAACTAAGAAAAGATTTTGAATCAAGCGTTTTAATTATTTATGATCATACCTCACTTTATTTGTGCTTTGCTTTATTGTACTTCACAGATGCCACATTTTGTTGTTTTTTTTTTGTTTTGTTTTGTTTTTACAAATTGAAGATTTGTGACAATGCTGCATCAAGCAAGTCTATCGGCACTATTTTTCCACAGAATTCGCTCACTTGGGGTCTCTGTGTCACATTTTGGCAATTCTCACAATATTTCAAATTTATCATTATTGTATTTGTTATAGTGATCTGTGATCAGTGATCTTTGATGTTTTTATTGAAACTTAATCAACACATGTTATGTGTGTTCTGATTGCTCCACTGACTAGTTGTTCCCCCATCTTCTCCCTCTCCTTGGGTCTCCATAGTCCCTGACATACCATAATATTTAAATTAGGGGCAGCCTGGGTGGCTCAGCAGTTTAGTGCCACTTTCAGCCCAGGGCGTGATCCTGGAGACTGGGATTGAGTCCCATGTCGGGCTCTTTCCATGGAGCCTGCTTCTCCCTCTGCCTGTGTTTCTGCCTCTTTCTCTCTGTGTGTCTCTCATGAATAAATAAAATCTTCTTATAAAATTTAAATTAGGCCAATTATTAGCCTAAAATGGCCTGTAAATGTTCAACTGAAAGAGTCATTTGCCAGTCATTTTACATCAGAAGCTAGAAATGATTCAGCTCAAGGAGGAAAGCATGTCAAAAGCTGAGATAGGCCAAAAGTGAGGCCTCTTACACCAAACAGCCAAATTGTGAATACAAGAGACAACTTGAAGGAAATTGAAAGAGCTACTACAATGAACATACAAATGATAGGAAGATAGCCTTATTACTGATATGGAGATAATTTGAGTGGTCTGGATAGATGATCAAGCTGGCCATGACATCCCTTTAGGCCAAAGCCTAATACAGAGCAAGGCTCAAAGTCTCTTCAGCTCCATGAAGGCTAAGAGAGGTGGAGAAACTGCAGAAGAAAAGTTGAAGTTTAAGGAAAGAAGCCATCTCTAGAACATAAAAGTGCAAGGTGAGGCAGCAAGTGTTGCTGTAGAACCTGCAGTAAGGTTCAAGAGATCTAGCTAAGATAATTCATGAAGAACAATAGATTCTTCTAAACAATAGATTTTTAATGTGGACAAAAATAGTATTTTTATTGGAAGAAAATGCCATCTAGGACTTTCATAGCTAGATAAGAGAAGTCAATGCCTGGATTCAAACTTCACAGCTCAGACTGCCTCTTATTAGGGGCTAATGTAGCTGGTGATTTTAAGTTGAAGCCAATGTTTACTGGCCATTCCAAAAATCCTAGGAGCCTTAAGAATTATACAACATCTATTCTGTGCATGCTCTGTAAACAAAATAGCAAAGCCTAGGTGACAGCACATGTTTATAACATGCTTTACTGTGTATTTAAGCCCATTGTTGAAACCTATTCAGAAAAAAGATTCCTTTAAAAATATTACTGCTCGCCAACAATGCATCTGGTCATCCAAGGACTCAGAGAGAGGTGCACAGTGAGATCCATGTCATTCTCATGCTCATTAACACAGCATTCATTCTGCAGCTCATGCATCAAGGAGTCATTTTGACTTCCAAGTCTTATTTTTAAAGAAATTACATTTCATAAAGCTATAGCTGCCATAGATAGTGCTTTCATAAAAGGAAGAGTCAACCAATGTGATAAACTTCATTATTGTCTTATTTTAAGAAATGGTCATGACTGCCCCAACCACCAGCAACCACCACGCTGACTACTCAGCAGCCATCACCATCAAGGTAAGACTCTCCACCAGCAAAAAGACTATGATTCACTGAAAGCTCAGATGACAGCATTTTTTAGCAACAAAGTATTTCTTTTTAATTTATTTATTCATGAGAGACACAGAGAGAGGCAGAGACATAGGCAGAGGGAAAAGCAGGCTCCCTACAGGGAGCGTGATGTGGGACTTGATCCCAGGACACTGGCATCATGCCCTGAGCCAAAGGCAGATGTGCAACCACTGAGCCACCCAGCCATCTGAGCAACAACATATTTTTAAATGAAGATATGTACATCGGTTTCAAGACATAATGCTATTGCACACTTAATAGACTACATTACAGTCTAAACACGGGTTTTATATGCCCTGGGAAATCAACAATTTTATTTGACTCACATTTTTGCAATGTTTGTTTTATTGTTGTGGTCTGGAACCAAAGCCATGGTATCTCTGAGATATGCTGTACTCTAATACTTCATTTCCAAATAACAGGAGCAGGTAGGAAAATACCAGATTAGGAATCAGGAGACACGTGTCCAAGTCCACTTCATCAGGGAACTAGCTCTGTGAATTTGGATAGCTGAGGAAATTTCTCTGAGTCCCTGTTTCCTGTCTAGAAAATGAAGATTAAAATAAACTCCTATCCTACCAATTTCACAAGCCTGTTAAAAGAGGTAATATAATAGTGATTTGAAAATTGCTTAGCGTGAAGGTACTATTACGATGTTAGTAAGTAAAGGTCATCGCCCACATGTGGAGGCAAAATTTTGATTTGCACTATTGTGGAAACAGAAGGAACAGCAAATGGGAGGAATTTCTGCACAGAGCAGCAGCTGGAAGTACTCTCTCATTAAAAGGTGATGATTACGGGCTTTGAGGAAACACTCCAAAAAGAAAGAACAAAGTTTTCTTTGTTCTGATGTAACTGTGGAATGTTGAAAATGTTACTATAACTGGAAAGAATCATAGCAGCAGGAATTAAAAAAAAAATAGATCCCTGAACCAAGGGTTAGACTCACAGTTTAAACTCCGCTTCCTCACTAATCAGCTTTGTGATCATGGAGAAGCCACTTACTCTCTTGAGCCTCATATTCTGCATATGTAAAATGTCGTTGAATTTAGGATGCTGAGGTTTTCTCCAACTCTATTTCACTGCAAGGTTATGAAGAAATTTCTTTAACAATGAACTGAAATATGCAGGAGACGTTATGAACAATATCTTGAATGTTTGGCTTTTACAATTTCCCAAGTGGCTTTCCATGCATCATCTCCTTTCATAAGTCTTTAAAATTTTAATATTGAAAGGGATGTTAACTGGCATGCTGATTATCTTCTTGCAGATGTCTTTCTTTTCAAAATCAATACTACGTGTACAGTCAGTCTATACTTGAATTCCAGTGACATGAAACTGGTTCACAAGAAAGCCTAGTCACATTTTGAGAATTTTTGATTAGT